CCCCCCCCCTGAAAAAGAAAAACTGATGACACAGCAGTAATGACGTCCAGCAGCAGCAGGCAGGTGGGTGGCAGTAGGTGTGTGTCAGGATGACTGTGGGCTGACGGCGGTACAGTATGTACACACTGAGACATGGTAGAGCTCATCCCCTCACTGCTGCCTGCAGCATGAGCAAACAAATGCCGGCTATAAGGAGAGCATCGTTGTGCCGCTGCATTACATCATCACATGAAGTTGTCTATTAAAGGAAACATCAGGAGATGACTGGAGCTGGACTCTCTGTAAAATGGAGCAACAGCTCCGTGTGAGAGCACTCAGCCTCGGCTGCCACCGCAGCTGACATTCACACATCAAACCTAATTCTCCCACTAACCTGACATTTGAATGGTCTCCTGTTCCATACCGACAGTCACATGTGGCATTCCTCACACGGCACGGTCCGGTCCTCCATCCTGCTCGTGTCCGGCTGACAATCAGAACAAAAGGCAGAAATCAGCGAGGTAAAGTCCCATCAGCTGAACGTTAGAAGATCTATTGATGCGAGCGAGTCACCAGAGAAAATACCCAAGCATGACGTGCGGACCCAGGCACAAAAATAGCAAAGGGGCCCAGGGAGGGATTACACAACGGCCCACGTTTAAGGACGCTTTCCCTGCCTCTCCTCCTCTCCTGCTCATTGTGTCGGAGCTCACAGCAGCAGCTGCCTGGCTCTGAGGGGAGGCGGCTGTCATCATCCCAAGAGCCAAACATCAACGTCCCCCACTTCATTCAGCTTCTCATTCAGACCTTTGTCATCCCCACCGCTGAAAGCAGCYGGTGTCTTCCTCTGTCTGTCTGTTATCTACATACCTCATGAACCACTGGACAGGTTTAAATGAAACTTTTAGGAAATAATAATTAGATGATCAACTATAGACTAACTTTTGGAGTCAATTCAGTTAAGTTTTATCTAACAAAGGGCTATGGRTTCAGGAAGAGCAGTATGGTTTTGGTCCTGGTCGTGGAACAGAGGACCAGCTCTACACTTTCAGCAGGGTCCTGGAGGGGTCATGGGAGTTCAACCAGCCTACATGTGTTTTGTGGACTTGGAGATGGTGTTCCACCGTCTCCCCCAGCGACTCCTGTCGGGGGTACTCTGGGAGTATGGGGTACCAGGCCCATTGATACGGGCTGTTAGGTCCCTGTAGGACCGGTGCCAGAGCTTGGTCCACATTGCTGGTAGTAAGTCAGACTTGTTTCCGGTGAGAGCTGGACTCCTCCAAGGTTGTCCTTTGTCACCGATTCTGTTCATGACTTTTATGGACAGAATTTCTAGGAGCAGCCGAGGTGTTGAGGGGATCCTTTTTGGTGACCTTAGGATCACATCTCTGATTTTTGTGGATGATGTGGTCCTATTGTCTTCATCAGATCCTGATCTCCAGCTCTCATTGGAGCGGTTCACAGACGAGTGTGAAGCAGCCGGGGTGAGGACCAGTGCCTCCAAATCCCAGACCATGGTCTTGAGCCGGAAAAGGGTAGGGTGTCTTCTCCAGGTTGGGGAGGAGGTCCTGCCTCAAGTGGAGGAGTTTAAGTATCTCAGGTCTTGTTCATGAATGAGGGAAGAATGGAGCAGGAGATCAACAGGTGGATTGGTGCTGCGTTTGCAGTGATGTGGGCGTTGTACCGGTCCGTCGTGGTGAAGAGAGAGCTGAGCCAGAAGGCAAAGCTCTCAGTTTACCAGTCGGTCCACGTTCCTACCCTCATCTATGGTCAGGAGCTTTGGGTAGTGACTGAA